TTCAGAAGAGAGAAACTTAGGAGGTGAACGCTATAACTGCCCTGGTTTTCTGCCTGAAGGCGCTTTCTGATCTGTGGTACAGGGAAAGGAATGCCAAATAGAACACAGTGGTTATTTCTGACTGTGACAAAGATTACTGTCAGAGAGGTTGAATTAGTTGAGATTGATAGATCAGCATACTGAGGAAGAGGGGCCTATTTATGCAGAAATAGAGAAAGCACCAGAAATCTTCATATGATTCCTTTCAAACCTACATTTAAATACTAAACTGTGCATGGGTAGGTGAGCCTTCACAATGGTAGGCAAATAACTGTTAGGAACTTGTAATCTAAACAATTTCCAGCACTTATACAGGGGTGAGAGATGTTTGAGTCCCTGAATAAGCAGACTGGAGGGACTTTGTTGAACATCTGGAGAATTCAGTAGGGGTCCCCAAAAGGTCACATTTCAAGAATAATGCTGAATTAGCCCTAGTGAATGACTGCTCTATACCTACTTTAACAGATCTTAAAAACAAACTGAAAAGAATGAAGTTGAACAGTGAATAATTTAATAACCTGTTGAAACAAAATTTATCACTCTTTAAAAGAAAACCATAAAGTTCAGGAACTCAACCATATAATATTCATTAGTGTTCATAGTATTCATCAGTATCCATAATAAATTTTTGTTATCTATTTAATTACACATAAATATATATTGTAAAACCAACTGCCACATAAAAGGTGAAGGAAAAGCAACAGTAGAAACAGACTTAGAAATTTCATCGATGAGTAACAAGACCAAAAAGGTGAACTGACCATCAGTGTCCTGGACATAGTATCAAAACTTCTAGCATTTATATAATTGGAATTATAGCTCTAATAGAAAGAGAGAGAACATAGTGCAAGAAATAATAACCAATAATTATATTTAAAAAAAGAAAAACAGTTTCAAGAAGCACCATAAATCCCAATTGGGATTAAAAACAAAACTACAACAGGTACATTGTAGTCAGATGACTTATTTCCTGTGATAGAGAAAACCTTAAAAGTATAGGGAGAAAGGCATAAGAGAACATTACAGAGAAGCAGAGATATACAAAAAAGTCACTGGTGACTTAGAGCAGAAGGCATATAAGCTAGAAAACAGTGAAATATATATTCAAGTGCTAAAAGGAAAAACCCATCAAATTCTAAATTTTCTACCCAGTGAAGTGACCTTTTAAAAAGCAGGACATGACATTTCCAAATAAGCAAAAGCTGAGAAAATTTGCTGTCAGTATACCTACACTAGAGAAATCTTAAAAGATGACCTGATAGAATAAAAATGATAGTGAAAAATTCAGATCTGCACAAAGGAGAGAAGTAGTAGTAAGGTCAAAAGTACATGGAAATTGAAACTTAGTAAGAGAATCTAAAAAAATGTCTTAAAAGGAATGATTGTCAGAATTTGTGGGATGTGACTACTAGATTACTAAAGCAGTGCTGAGATGAAAATTTATAATCACATACCCTATGTTAGAAAAAAAGAGGTAAGGCCTCTCAGATAAATCTCCACTTACAAAGCTAAAATATGTGAGCAGATTAAATCCAAAGCAAGCAAAAGGAAACAGTGATGAACATAATGAATGAAATATATAACAGAAAGTAATGGAGAAAATAATGAAACCAAAGGTGGTTCTTTAACAAAATTTAAATTGATAAATTTTAACTAGATCAGGGGAAAAAATCACTAATGGTAGGGTGGAATAAAAGCATCATTATAGGATAATCAGGGTATATTTGAGCAATGTAATGCCAGCAAGTTCAATACTTAGATGAAGTCGGTTGAGTGCTGCAAAGATACAAGTTACCAAAGCTGATAGAAGAAATAGAAAACCTGAAAATCCTTGTATCAGTTAAAGAAATCAAAAAATATTTGACAAAATTAAACCCATTCATAATGAATACACATACAAAAAACATGAATAAACTGAAACTTCTTCAATCTAATAAAGGATATTTACAAAAATTATACAGTTAATCTCCTGTCTAGTGATCCAAGATTAAATGCCTAATTCATAAGATCAAATAGAAGGTAATGATGTGTCCTCATAGTACTGATAAAAATTAACATTATACTGGAATTTGTATATGAGGTACATGTGTGTATACAGATACAGTGTTCTAGGAAGTCATGTATCAAGCATCGTTGTTTTTGCTATTATAAGATAGGGGAGTATTTTGAACAAATAGTTCAGGAATTAAGTATCCAAGAGGAAATACATGAATCTGTGTCCTCCCTGTTCTTTCACTATATGTAAAAATTAACTTGAATTCAATTGTAGATTTAAAAATTAAGACTTCAAAATTTTAGAAACATGCACAGATCACTGACTTTGTTAAGCAAAGGTTTTTTTGACTATAAAAAGAATTGTTCATGAAAGTTTGATAAGTTAGTTTCATCAAATTTAGTGTCGGTTGCTCTTCCAAAGACACTACATAGTCTTACTGGTTTGATATTACATCAGCTCTATTCTAATTGGTTACACTTCTAAGTTATATAAGCCATTCCATCATTTGTTATATAAGTTGTTTATATGATGTGTTTTCACCTTTGGGTACTAAAGGTGTTGTTCTCTGACTGAGATAGCCAAATATTTACCTGTAACATGCTTACAGGATCATTTACTTTTGAGGAAAACCACATTTTCAAGTAAGGATGCATTTTTGGTGACTTGTAAGTATAGGAGATAGATTTTATTCCTGTGAAATAAGGTTTACTTTTCAGAAAATTCATTCCAAATATCAACAAAACATTGTTGAACTTACTTGAACTTAATCTGATACTGCTATTTTTCTACTTTAATATAACCTAAAATAGTGTACTAGATATGTAAAATAATATTACATAATTTGTTATATGTTAATTTTAGTATCAGAAAAATTTTACTAGAAGTACAATAAACTGAATTCCATGAAATTTTTCTTTTTTCTCTATTTTAAAATAGCAAATCATCAGTTTTAGTTAAAATAGGTTATATTTAGGGTAACAAATTAAGCATATAATCTCAACGGTTTAACATAGCAAAGGTCTACTGTGGTATAGAGAGTCCAGTGTGGTTTGGACTGTGAATCTCCATCATATAACTATACTGTTTCTACTAGTGATTTTGTAGAAGGTCATATGAACTGGAAATGACTGTCACTTTTGCCAAATGGTTCCAGCCTAACTGCAAGGAAGGGTGGAAAACTAGAAGAGGATATGAAGTATTTGAAGATCACAGTTTTCTGTCGCATGCCAAAATTGTTATGATTGCTGCTTAATTGAATTCTTTACTTCCTTTCATCTGCTAATATAGTTAGTGCCTGATCTACCCAGTAGAGTGCTCAAAAATCTTTTTGTTACTACCTATATAATAGCTCTCTTTTTACATAAAACCCAACATTTTGCCCTCATCTGTGCAACTATTGCATGATATGGCCCATGCTTTCTAATCTATTTATGGGCAGTGGTAATTAAATATTACCTATGAATAGTGTAATTTAAATAGGGCATTCTCATCTATTGTCTATAGTTACAAAATTATGATTTACAAGTACCAGGATTACAAATTTATAATAATAATGAATAAAACAAGCAAACAGTTATTACCAAGAGATGTCTTTATAGTGAGTCTCAGTCCACATTGTAAGCAATTAGAATCTTAAAAAAGCCTTTGGGGGATGTTGATGCAATGGAAAATCCTATTTAAAATGAGTAATTATATTCTTTTTCTCTGGCTGCAATTTATCTTTTAGAATAAATATTTTCTCTGACTAAAGTTTAAAAGAAAGACATTCCATTATAGCTAAGTGTGTTTTCTAAAATATATACTTTTTAGAGCAGTTTTAGGCTCATAGCAAAATTGAGCAGCAGAATTTGTGTACTGCCTGTGCCTACACATGTATAACTTCCACTATCAATATATTGCTCCAAAGCAATGCATTAGTTGAACCTGGGAATACACACGGGTGCATATATGTCATCAAAAGTCCATAGTCTATACTAGAGTTCACTCTTAATGTTATACTGTCTGTGGGTTTTGATATAAATGAGGTTTTTATATTATTTTTTCATAAAGTTTGTGTTTTGCCATTAAGTACTCTTTGTTCTTCAATAATATCTTCAATTTCTATCATGTTTTTTTCTTGACAATCTTAAGTTCTTAATTATCCTATGCTCACACACACATAGTCCTAAATAACTGTTTTCTAGTTGTAGTATTTGGGATACATACATAAAGTAAGTAATTTGTAATCTCACAAACTGTGATTAGAGCAGTACCCTTGCCAAGTAGAAGAAGAGCTAGGGGTTTAACCCTTATTTTAAAAAAATGTATGAAAGAAAAGCATCATATAAATTCTTTGTAATCTCTGGATGTGAATTCAGGAACATAGGCTGTTTATAAGCAATTTATTTTAAACTTGGTAGTAATTTTTTACTTGGCATGCTTACTTGAAATGTGGCATAGATTCATATTTTTTGCAAATGTGGACAATTTCTTTAAATTGATTTTAAGAATGTAACTGTTAATAGTGATTCCTGTTTAGCAAACAAAAATTATACATAGTAAAACTGAGTACACTATGATTTGTTACTGGAATTTAGCACAGTTTAAATGACTGGCTAATTTTAACATCCCTTACATGTAGGTCTCACATAACTGGTTTCACCTGGGGTTGATATTGTCATTCTTGTTTCCTGTGTTTTGCTGACTCCTATTTTAGTCCTTTAGTATTAATAAAATATTAAGTAGCAAAAGAAATTTTCCTACTACTTGATAAATTATAAATAAAACAGGTGTTTGTGTGATATGAAGACAGGAAATTAAATCTTTCTTGTGATGAGAAGTTGGTATGCTATTCTCCTTTCATGTAATTAGAAGTTTTATAAAGGCAATTGGTATTGTATGACAGGAGTCAAGGCAGTTATTAAGCTGTTCTGTGAAAAGTTCATTGCTTCTGTGCTTTGACTAACAATGTTTGTCTTGTTCACAGTAACTGTAGTACTGAATGGAAGTGGCTTGAAGACAGAGCAAGAGTTGGCAGCCGATGGACATGGCTTCAAGCCCAGATTTCAGAGCTGGAATACAAAATTCAACAACTAACAGATGTTCACAGGCAAATTCGTGCCTCCAAGGTATTGTCTGAGGTTTTTATTTAAAAAAAAAATGTTTACATATATATATATATGTGTGTGTGTGTGTGTGTATGGTTTTAGTTTCTCCCCAGCTCTCCACGCAAAATAATTATAAGGGTTCATAATAAAATGTAGTTAATGTTAAGGTTTTTTATGTAAATGGTATAAGATTTAATGCCTTTGTATTGTCACAGTTATTTTAGTGTAACTCAGCAATTCAAAATTGTTTTATTGGATTCCAGTTAATAGAAATGATAAACATTTCATGTAAATCTCTACTTTATAGTCATTTAATATATGTGAAAAAATCTGAGTGTATCTTATTGGAGTCTCCATAGAGTTTTTATTTTGCTCTAAAAAAATTATAAGCACTTAAAATGTTCTAGTATTATGTACCCACCCTAAAATTTATCAAGTTTTAATTTTTTTACCTGTACACTTGAAGTCCTTCTTACCCTGATTCTCTTTTCCTGTAGCACTATAATTACTATTTTGATTCCAACATTTCTTACATTTATTATTTTCATGTGTAATTTTATACTACTGGCACTTAAATGTCTGTATCTACAAATAATAGTTATTTTTCCATTCTTTTGAAGTTTCTATAAATGGTATAAATGATGTATATTTTACAAACTTTTGCAACTTGCTTATTTTTGCTGAGCATTGCTTTATACATTTTTATATTTCTTATATGTCATTTAGTTGTATAAATAGAATATATTTGTATAAATACAGTGGAATAAGTGTGTTTATTTTCCTATTTTCTGTTGATAAGCATGTACAGTGTTTCAATTTTTTAAACCAGCAAAAACAAACATGTCTTTATGTGTTTGTTTTTTTTGCGGGGGGGTGGGGTGGGTAAGTGTTTGGGGAGCATCTCTGGGGCATGTATGCAAGAATGGAAATCCTGGGTCTTAAGCATGGCTGTCTTTAATTTTCCTGTATTCACTGATGTAACTGTACCATCAGTACTCCAGTGAAGGAGAACTATTTCTTCATACCCTTGAAATCATATCGTTAACCTTAATTTTTATATTATAAGGAGTGTAAAATATTACTTATTAATGTATTAATGGTCCTCAATATAGTGAGACTGGACATCAGTTTAATTGACCATCATATTTTTTTTTAGTCGAAGAATTGACTTACTAACATTTTTGAGGTGGTCATGTGTAGCATATGTATACTCTTAAATTTTGGACACTATTCTTGGTCCATTATTAATACTACTGATCTGTTATGGTGTAGCTTGTCTTTTCATTTTTTTAGCATATTTATTTTTATAGAGCCTTTTTTTTTTTTTTTAAAGATTTATTTATTTGTGCATACAGAGCTGGGGTACAGGCCAGAGGCTCAGGGGT